ATCATAATTTTTATGAAAACAATACTTTATTCCTTTTTTTTTTTTGAACATGAGAAATTGTAAGGGAATATAAATTTTTTAAATAGTTGATGAGAGTCAAACTTTTAATTAATTCAATTAAAATACTAAGATTTAAGGATAAAAACCATTAAACTTAAAAGAACAAGTTTCTTTCATATTTTATTATTTGAGTACCTAGTGCACTTGGTGTTTACACCTAAAATAAACCAATGAGAGAAGGGCACGTGTCAAGGTGAAGCTCAATTATCAAGAGAAGTCAGCATGTTGGATTTGGGCTGAGCTGGCTTACAATTTAATAGCCCCGACGGATTTTCAAGGATGCTAGATTTTAGGTGGCAGAAGAAAAGATAACTTCTAGTATTTGAATTTGATTTAAGTTAGGAAGTTGAGAGTTTTTAGGAGGAGGTTATCTTTAAGATTTTGTTGGAGATAAGGTTAGATAAAAATTATCGGATAACTATTAAACAACTGCCAGACATACAATCCCACTATCAGATCATGGAAGAATAGTACCGAAAATCATGGAGGAACAGTACCGAAAATCATGGAGGAAGTTACTAGCACTGAAGAAAATAAATACAGAGAGAAGAGAACAGTTCCGGAGACCTGCCCAACACACACACTGCCCAGAGCGTGTTTTTCACCTTTTAGACTTGATTTTTCAGATTTCAGCAATAGTTTCCAGATTTTTTAGATTAGTTTGCAAGATCTACTCTTATTCATAGCCTTAGCCTAGGTTTGTTCATCTTTGTTCATATTTTCTTTCGCAAATTCCAATTTAGATTAATTTTTATAATTTTTTATATAAATTAATAATAAAAAATACATTTATTATATTTTTAACATGTATATTTAAAAGTACTAAATAACAAAAATCTTTCCTTTCTTCATGTTAAAAAAAAAAAAAATCTTTCTTTTCTTTTGCCTTAATGTAATAATAAGTTTTTCTTTAGAACCATGAGCAATTTTAACCATTTTAAATTTAATTTTAAAATAAACTATTCTGTTATTTAACTTCAGTTCTTTGTTTTTTTGAAAAAAAAAAACTACTCCATTAGTCCCAAACTAATGCTCAATTTTTTTTATATATTTTTTTGTTTTTTATTATATTATAAGTTTATAATACTATATAATATTATAATTATAATATAAAACAATTTAATATGATTACAATTATAATTATAATCATAACCTTTCATAATAATTTCAAAACGCATTTATAAACATCCTTATTATAAAAAGTTAGATGTCTATTTGCGGAGATAATCAATTGCTTTAGAATCCCCTAAGCCACGTCGCATCAAAGGTGTTTGATCATTTTGGGGGCCGCGGGGAGAAGGTGGGGTTTAAGAC